ATCCTAAATATTATTGTTTTGATTGTTATTTTCTCCTAACACATTTTGGAAGAATTATTTTTGCTCTTGTGTGTACTAAAATTTCAGAGAAATCATGCTCTAGATTGTTGAAGACTTCAAATAAAGATGAAATGTTTAGTTCATCCCGGACGATCTACTATGGATTTGCCAAATACACTGTTCGTCTAGATGAAATGTTAAGTTCGTCCCAGGATGATCTGCTCTGGATTTGGAAAAATACACTGTTCGTTCAGACAAAATGTTAAGTTCGTCTCAGGATGATCTGCTCTTGATTTGGCAAATACACTATTCGTCCAAATGAAATGTTAAGTTCATCCCAGGATGATCTGCTCTGGATTTGGCAAATACACTGTTCGTCCAGACGAAATGTTTAGTTCATCCTAGGATGATGTGCTCTGGATTCACCAAATGTGATGTTCATCCAGATGATCATTTCCATTCGTCCCAGGACGATGTGCCCTATTTTGTAAACTTGTAATTCGTCCTACCTGTTCATACCAACTAACTTTGAAAATAACTGTTCGTACCAGACAAACTATGTTCGTACGGGACGATGATTGGGTTTGAAGGCAGTTAGTACCAATTTACATTGAGTTCATACGCAATAGTTTTTATGCTGTTTGTACGTATGAAATACGATAGTACGGGACGATCGTGGACGTTCAAACTTGAAATTTTTTGTATTTCTAGATGATTTTTGTGTCTTTTCTATAAAAGGGTAACTTAAGACTGTCATTTAATCTTTTTTACTACTGGTCTTCGTGAACAATAAACAGCAATTGAAGGAGAGAGTGTTTGAGAGAGATTTCTTCTTATTGGAGCGTGAAGGGTTCACTAAGTTACTCAAGGGTAGGGGTGTAAGTGAGCCGAGCCGGCTCGCGAGCCGAGCTTATCGAGCTCACAAGTCGAGCTCGAGCTCGAGTTCGAGCTCGTTTAGTAAACGAGCTCGAGCTCAAGCTCGAGCCGGCTTGGCTCGTGAGCTCGCGAGCCGGCTCGATTAAATATTAATATTTTTAA